AAGTTGCTGGATTCCGTCCAGAAAAGAGTCATCCGCCTGATTGAAGACGCGAACATCATGTGCAACCTTGATAGCTTGGAATATAGAAGAAAGGTTGGAGATTTGTCTCTATTTCATATGACTTTTACATGAAAGAAGTGTTTTTTACTTATTTCCATTAGTTGTTTAGTTATGGCATGTTTATTTTCAACTGTCCTCTGTAGGATTAGCACATATTATTAGAAAGGAACTCTGCTCCAAAAATATCTCGAGGCTGTTAGATTCTGTGTAAAAAGAGATCCTTTTTCTAAATTGCGTTCAGTTTATCTTCGTTGATTATTCACAATAAGAAAGCTAATAAATCAAAATATCAAGTAACATATGACAAAACGTCGTATATATTCAGATCAGAAAACTGATAAATAATTCAATTGTTGAAAACCAATTAACTCCTCACAACATTGATTTATTGATTCATGAATGCAAACATATGAAAGTGTCTCTACAGTAGTACTTGCTTATATAATTATTGTTCGCGAAGTGGGTGACCCAATTTCAAAATATGTATTTTAGGTATATTCATAATTTCGCTTCATTGCGTTGTAAATATTCTCATTGAATTATTCTCTCATATTGAAAAATTGGAAAATTCCTGATTTACGAGTATATACTGTGTCCAAGATAAGAATGAACAGCATGGGGATATCGGAAACGCTAAGTGATACGGGGTCGGTTGAATGGGGAATGTTCCTCAATTTAGGTTATTACAGCAAATGCAAGTTTGAACAAAATGAAGTTGAGTTTAATTCATGAGGTTTTCAAATTCACTTCGAAAAGTATTCAAATTGATGATTCAAATGTTGTGTTTTGATTTTTAAAGGAATTTGTTTCCAATTCACATATTGGCAACAGCGCCTATATCAAGTTGAAATAATTTATACGTACCTAGATATTCTAGTTTAAAAAAGGAAAATTATCTTTATGAATCAACAATTATGGCAAAATATAAATCATAGTTCAATACCACTCCACAAGCCACATAAACTACACTTGTTTTGTTATTTATTTATATAGAGGAAGATAGGTTAGGTGCACAAAATGTCATATGTCACAGAATGTCTCGGAACTCGGAACATAAGTAAACAGAACAGCACGCCTCTGAAATATGTCATCTTTGTTTGTCTCATACAGGTAACAGATTCATTGTCCTTTATTAGCTATAACCGATGTTGCCAAATGGTGAAATAGAAACGAATCCCTTTAAATGTTGAATGCATTATTTCATTTCTCTTTTTCAAGTATTTAAATAATTTTTTAAAGAAAAAGGTTGAAATGATAAGTTTAAAATGCGTTGTTTTAGAGCTCTTTTATGAAAACTACTTGATTTTCGTCGGGAGGAACATTTCCCATCAGAGAACAGTAGCACATTTATGTGCCTAATAATATGCCATTTAGAAAGTTTCGAGTAGTTCCGGAGATATTCGAGAAAAACCGAAATTTGAGAATTTCGTTTTATTGTTAAAAAAAAGCACTCTGCCATGTCCACTTTTTCAAGACTACACGATAACGTAAGCAGAATTTTTCTGCATCGTTTCGTCTTTTAGAAAACATCGATACCTTTGTATTTTTATATGGGCCGCAACTACAGTATACCTATGACTCCATTTTTCATTGTGAATACAGCAACGTATCACATATTATGATTTCATAACCATTTCTTGAGCAAAATGAAAAGTGATTACTTAACCTGCTTTTTTCAGTTTTAGATAGTTCGCGCTGGAAAACATTACATAATTCATTTATATATTTATTGAGAAAATACACCCAACAGGTCATGAGACCCAATTACAGGAGTACATGATACAAAATGAAAAGCTATATTCTGTTGTCATAATAATACTGTTAGTCGGTAGAATTTTTGACATATTACCGTTCCTGCTTTTACATCTCATTACCTACCTGATTTGTGTTAAAAATGGAAAACGGCGGCTTTTCGAGTACTGAAAAATTTGATATGTGGTCATGTTACATTTTGTGCCAAAGAAATTGTGTTGATGCTGTTATATTAGCAATATATCCACACTCCACATAACAGGATATTCTTGAATAACAGAAAAGAAAAATATTCCACAGTTTTGAGAATCTTGGATTAAGAATCGTCGAATTTTCAAATATAGCCATTCCTTAAAATTACTTATCACAAATTTGAAAAGACACGGTGGCTGGAAGTCTACCAATGTCGCCGAAGGATATATAGACAATTCATTTACGAACAAAATCTAAATTGACAAGACCATTCAAAAATTATCAGATGAAAACGGTCAGTGTGAAGCGGAAACTTCACATTCTCGTTCTAACTTCAATAAAAGGCATTTAAAATCACCAGACATTTCAAACGAATTGAATCCCTTCATTTTTAGCTATTATTGAATTTTCATATAAATAATAATCTAAATAAGAATCAGAGTGTTTCTGTTGGTACCTATCTTCTGTGTGAATTTCAATATTCAATGCAAATACGAATTAGATTGTTCGAAATTTTGTTCAAAGAAATATAATTAAGAATGAATGGATGAATGAATGAATGAATGAAGACATGTGTCTCATTGATTTTTGAATATACACGTTTGCCGAAAAAATAGTGTACGCAACACGTCCAAAAACAGTATTTTCCGGACTTGTGATGTAAATTACTATACTTATTGTAAGTGAAATTACACTCTTCAAATTCATTTTGATGTATCATTGTTCTTAAGGAATTTAAATTCTTGAAGGCATTCGTTATCCTATTTCAACGACATTGTGTAGACATGTTGAAATATGATAATTTGCGGATAAACTTGCATAAGTCGAATTCTAAACTTGCCCTATTAGAAAATGATAAATGCGATGGGATAAAAACATGCATTCAATTAACACTGAACGCCGTCGAAGTGAACCCGTAAAGTATAATAAATGTGTTAATTAACGGAAATGGCGTTACTACCGATCAAAACACATCGACAAATGTTATGATCGGTTGGGAATTTGAACTTCAGAAATAATTGAATACAAAATAGAGAGATACTGAAAATAGTCTAAGAATTATTACACTTTCAAAAATTGATTCATGAGCATAAAAAAGCTCTTTGAAGAGTCTACAGTACACTGGTGCAAGATGAATGGCGCATTTTTGAGAACGATGACATTTACCCCATCATGACCACAATCTTGGGCAATGATTCAGTATTCGTCTGACGATACAGTCTAGAAAATTAATACAGGAGCAGGAAAAACCATTTTTTTAAAGAGTTAACAGTACAGCGGTGCAAGTGATGCAAGGATTTAGTATTCGTGTAATGATACACCCTCAAAAATTTATTCAGGAGCAGAAAAAACCTCTTTAAAGAGTCTACAGTACAGTTGTGCAAGATGAATGGTGCATTTTTGAGATCGATGACATTCACCTCATTATGAGCAGCATCTTGGAAAATGCTTCAGTATTCGTCGACTGATATACCCTCAAAAATTGATTCAGAGGCAGAAAAAACCTCTTTGAAGTGTCTACAGTGCATTTGTGCGTGACGAATATGGTGCAATTTTGAGAAGGATGACATTTACCTCATCATGACCAGAATCTTGGGCAACGATATACTCTCGAAAATCAATACAGGAGTAGGAATAACCCCTTTTTTGAATAGTCCATAGTACAGTGGTGCTTTGTGTCCAGAATCTTTGGCAATGCTTCAGAATTCGTCTAATAATACATTCTCGAAAATGAATTCAGTTGGAAGAAAACTCCCTTCCATAAAAGAGTCTGCAGTACACTGGTGCAAAGTGACTGGTACATTTTCCAGTACGATGATAGATATTTCATACACTTCACAAAATTGATTTCTCGTATTGTGGATTGTAGAGTTGAGAGAGTGGATACTATTTTTTCCTGAAGGTGAACTAAGAACTGAGATGAACGTTGTGCTACAAGTAAATTAGCTTTGTCTATCGCTGATATTGCTTTTGAACCATCTTCGTGTGTTGATGAGGATAATGTAGGTCGTGTTCAGTCACTTTCCACCCAAAACTGTTGGGACCTGGTTGACAAACCTAATACTAATTCTTGACACTGTTATTTTTGTGCCACTATCGGCAGACGACATATTGAGAGGCTGAAAAGTTTGTCGTTAGAAGTTTGCATGTACGCATCAATGCCCCACTGGTTGAAAACAGAGAGAAAAATTGTCCTGAGGATAATTTTATTCAACAGATCAGCAGCCCAACCTTGTCTCTTTTTGAAATTTACTGAAATAAGTTGTGATGAAATGACCCTAAAGAAAATTTTACGGCGAATACGTGAAGTTCAGGAATGGTTCGAAGCTGTTGAACTGTCTGAAATATAAAATTGAATACTCAGTCTTTATATTCTCGAACATAGATTAGAACTCAGCTCTAATGGAAATTGGTGGTCATACAGGAATCGAAGTTATCTGCATTCTCAGTTTGGTGGCAATGGATGGTGCAACTTCTGCTTGATAAATTCATTTCAATCCATGAATAAGTACTCATCAGCCCCTATTTCATTTTTCTGGTATTGATGTGGAATTTTGATGGTTCAAATGGTATTTTCACTTGCCTCTATCATGTTGATACTTGCTTAAAACGTTGCAACACTCCAAATGTATTGATCTTTTCGTCTTAGGAGTATTCCTTTTATGAGTGAGCATCACCTTTTGTTAAGTAATACCGATAATACCAAAACTGTCATTGTGAAAGTGTTCAATATCAAAGATGAAGTAGTTACTTGCAACTCGAAGGACTTATGTATCGGATCAATATCGAGGTTCAAAACAACTGAACAATTGAAATATTCTAATTGGTAGGCAATCAAGATTTTATTGCCAATAAATATTTAATGTTCAATAAACAGACTTTTTACCGGAGGAAATGCATAATGCAAACTTTTGTTGACGCGTTTGTTATTGGTACAGTATCTGCGAATGCCGGAATGTTTGCCCCGCGAAGTGGTCAGCATTGAACTGGGCGCGCCGGTATATAAAGATTGTCTATACTTGGTGTTATTTTAGTTGTCGCCTACTCACTTGGGGTTGACTAAAAAGTGGCTAGACAGTGATCTACTGACACATCGCAGAGATGTCTTCTTCAACTACTATTTTTATGGCAAGTTCAAAATTTTTACTCCTTTTGTTATATCAACCATACCATCATTTTTTTATGAATCGATAGTAAATCTACATATACGGAATATATTGTTGATTTGTCTTTTCAAAATAAGGAACATTTTTCATCAACGGCTCTGAATCTTGTGTTTTTCTTCAATTTTCACTATAAAAGCAAGGTTTTCATGAAATTTCATTATTATTACAGTAAACCCCTTTTTGTCAAACGAGTCGAATTCATCACATTCAATACTGATGACTTGTTTATTCAGAGCAGTTTGGGAATAATACAAAATAAATATTTAGAAATTTTTTGAATTATAGTACCTATCTGAATTATTTCCATCAATTTATTTTGTCTTTCAACAACAAAATTTGAAAGCAAGGTGCTGATTGTCCATGTCAAAGGTACTGAGGCAACTCGTGTAGAATTTACCATTAGCAATATCATCAAATATTTTTCGGGTAAAATTCATCATAAGAATTCCAAATTTATTTTTTCAAATTATGAAACTACTATTTATTACTTATACACACATTCATTTCTGTTTCTTCGTCTTGGTTAGTCCTAGGAAGCTAGAATTTGGTATTTAGGTGCTTCTTATGACTTAGAATCTCACTGAGAGTTGGCAAAAAACAAATATAAATTCAAAGAATAAAATAAAAAATGCATCTGCGGCTTTTTTATATACCTGAATTTAAAAAAAAATATTAATTTTATTACAGAAGTGTATAATGGCTGTATATAATGTCAAAAAATAGTTCAAACAAAAGATAAAGCATATATAACCTTAATTGATGCACTTGAGTATTTCAAAATGACGAATTTTTTTGCACATTATAATAATGACGGCGAGTTTGCGCAGATCGAAATCGTCAGATTATTGAATAAATTTAAAAAAAAATATTAATTTTATTACAGAAGTGTATAATGGCTGTATATAATGTCAAAAAATAGTTCAAACAAAAATTAAAGCATATCTAATGTTTATTCTAGTTCAAATACACTGAGTACGCAATTATTTCAAAAAGTTTCATCCATGTGGATTTTTCTACGGAGAAATTTTGGTATCAACCTTTTGACATAATCTGTCAGTTAGGATTGCAAATTACATATACCAAGACTTTTTGCTGCATGATTTCGTGTAACATGTACATAGCTTCAAAATGAAAATATGTATTCAAAACTGAAGAAACTGATTACAGGTTTGAAAAGTATCTATCTATCTCTTTTCATCATATTGAAAATCAAAGCACTTCGTTTACAGTTTTAATTCTCTTAGTAACGAATTGAATCGAATCAAACTGAAAACAATAAATCAATTTCTGAATTAGGGCATGACATGAATAATCAGGATATTTCATCAAGGCTTGGCAATAAATTTGGATATTGAGTCTAATTATTCATCGAAATAGTGGAGAGAAATTAATCAAGAAAGTTTTCAATGTTACTACTGAAAATAAGTTGATCAAGGTTAATTGCCCATCTATCAATGAAACCAGATAAAATTTATTATATTACCAAATCTGGTATACAATAAACTTCAGTTCAGAAAATAAACATGGTTCACTGAATATAAAGAACTTTGGTTATTATCATTTGAAACAATTATAGAAGTGCACTTTTCTTCTAGTTCCTAACGTATTTTTATAATTCTCAGATTCAGCAAACCGGCGTTTCTATTTTTGATCAAACAACAACCAGAATTGATTCCAGCAGCTCAATACAGTCGTACTGTAGTTTTTCACAACCTGATATTCAAAAGAGTAGGTACTGACATAAAATGTCTTGCTTGCTTCCTTTCTTGGCATATTTCCCAAATTTTTTTCAACGATAGACAAGTGGAAAGCTAAAATATTTTTTCTCCAAAAAACTGTACTTTAAAAATATTGCCTCTTCAATTCAAATTTTACTTCTGTTGTGGAAAAAAGATAATTCATTTCAAAATGGAGATCTAGGAGCCTTCACTGAAAAGTGAAGTGACCTCTCCAAGAAAAAACAGTCAGCCACGGATGCTCGCAAAAATGTTTGGTGATATTAACAGGAGAACCAAAATTACCCAATTTCTTGGTGTAGATCAGCAATATTTCACTGTGAGACGTTAGAAATATCACCCAGGCAACATCATGCAATATTTTTTTTATATTTCACTTGTGATTATGCTGATTCATGTGAGGAGGATGCCGCCAAATATACCTACTTTAAGGTGTTCTGATTCCACCAGGAGAAGACCAAATCGTTTGATTGGTAAACCATTCATTGACAATGGTTGAATAATTGCTGCTCAGAAATGCCTTGCCAATGATAGTATGATCATAGCCCTTTCAATAGGGGAGTTTTATTTGGAGAGCAAATAATTTGCATGAAATGATCCTTAGGGAACCTTGTTCATCATTTACATTCGGAGTTAGTCTATCCGTTAGATGGCATGTATGGAAAAATGCCAAATGGGAAGATATTGTCGCAATGACCTACTCGTTTTTGTTGAGGTTGATATGAAAATGCTGGGCTCCGATATCATCTAGTTGTGTGCTTATAATGAAAACTGCAGAGTTAAACAGAAGAAAAATCTCGTTCAACGATCAATAAGAAAGATTTAGAGTTTTCCATCTGTAGAAGAGATACAGTTTTTGTAAGTTAAAATGCTATTGCCTTTTCCTACTCAGAGTTGTTTTTGTTAAAAACCCATTATCCGATCAGTACCACTGATGAGAACTATAGTACGATACGCATAGAAAGGAAGTACTATTGAAAAGTTCAAATTTTTTTTTTTGGGTCTTTGATATAATTACCAACATCAAGTAATATGATATCCACTTTTGTTCCGCTCGAACCCCTATTAAACAATGTATTCACAATCTGCTATGTAGTTTTTGTTGGATTCTCTGAATTATCGATTTGATTCTGAAAGAATTATTTTTTTGTTGAGATGCTTGGTTTGGCATGGTTTTGTTCAGAGAATACATATAATTCACTCAGAGATGAGTTAGTACATTTCATCCTATACAAGTCTTTGAGGTTTCGACTTGATCTCCTAAACTCATCTGTAAACCAGTTCTTTTATTTTCAGAATAATTCTTGTACTTTGTGAGAAAATGGAATCTAAAATGATGAGAAAATATTTTCCATTATTTCTCATGCCTCATTTATGACGATGAAACGTTATCATTCGTAAATGATATGAAGAAAATACAAGGAAGTTGTGTATAGGATCTTCTCAGAGTCTTGCAATCAGATTAGAAATATAGAGATAGATCTGACCAAGAATATTACATAATATATCAAACGTATAGAATCAAAAAATGAAAACCATAAACACGGGATGAAGAAATTATTAAAAATAAGAAGAAATCAAAAGTATACATCACCGAAAAGTTCAGGGACCACTGATTCACTATCATAGTGTACTATACAAGCAAACAAATGTCAAAGTGATGTCAATTCAATATGTAAACTATTTGTTAAAATTTGTTTTTCCATCAACTAATTGTTGCCCCATACGAACAACAACTCTCAGAAGTTGAAACTTGTGCGAGGTCTTACTTTTCAACGTGTGATTCCTAACACGGTACACATTGTAACCCTACTGGAAAACCTCATTTCCAAATCTCCTGATTTCAAATACTTAAATTCAATACATTCGTCTGTGAGATGGGGAAGGACAAGATATTTATGGTCAATCACGAAAAAAAAATCGCCTCGCGAGATCTATTCAAAGCAGTCGTGCCTGAACGGTGAACTTTGCGTGCAGATTTTTTTCTACAATTGAGAAATGGCATTTGTTTGTGTGCCAAGAATAATAATAAGCCACGATTTCCTTATTGGGTGTATAATTTATAAGGTTCCCAGACGGTAATCAATGTATACGTGTTGTCTGAGTTATGTACGATCAGCGATGAAAAATTATAACTTGTTTCGAAGTAGTTTTCGAGTTTTTTCTATGTTCAAGAACAAGGAATCAACCTGATGAAAAATAACGATAATTTATGATGTTGATATTTATGTTGTTATGATTTCAATGATGATAGTGATCTGTTTTTCCACAAATGAAAAATGATGATAGTAATCAGGAATCACCAAGTAATTGATTACACATATCTGTGTTTCCACAAAACAGTAAAACGTGTTTCACTATACAGTACCTACTATAAATAAATAGGATTTTTTTGAATTTCCGGAACAGATAGAAATTTGATTTGGATTTTCTTAAAAATAATAATTCGATATACATGGTAACTTATCTTTGAATAAATACGTCATCATTGATCTTTTCGAATCTAATACTTTATTTGCTTTCAATTTTCTGAAGTTATTTTGCTGAGTTGATGTCAAAAATCTGTCATGAGTATATAAATATAAATATCAGAGTAAGAATGAACCTTTATGTATGATGGAATTGGCCTATAATTGATGAAAATCCATAATTAAAGTATTTAAAAAACACTTTATTGTGAGATTTTCACAGAACAATTTTACAAAAATGCATCACTTGTTTCGTCAAACAAGGGTTCCTCCGGGTTTATCTTTACTGACTATATTCTACATATTCAATGCTTTATATACCTTATTTTACAATTTGAAGTACCAAAGTTTGTAATGAATTACCTGATCTAATATGCCGCTTTCCACATTTGAAAAAATATTTAGTAACGGGGAGTTATTCAATTCTAATTGATCATTCTATAAATCACCCGAATTCTTGAATCTACTGATTTCTAAACATTCTAGAAGATTGAGTTTCAAACTCTTCTCTTCTAAATGTAACACATCGTATTCATGATTGAACTCATGTCCTTCTGCTAAAAGTTGTTTGCAAATGTGGAATTGGTCATTCTATTTACGAAACTACTTCAATTATCTTCTATTCTTTGGGAAAATGTTCCTGTTTGGCCAATACACAGTTTTGGACAGGTACCATAAGTCAGCTTATATACTCTTGATCTTTTATTACGTAATTCACTACAAAAAAACTACTGTGTTAATGAAACATGTGATTTTTTTTTATAAAAAGATCTGTCTAAAATCTGTTTCTCTGTCGAAACTTGTGTGAGCTAAGGATTATCGAGGTCTCACTTTTTGACGTGAGATTCCTAAATAAATCTTGTGTGAAATTAAATAGTAATGTGTAGTTTATGAAATTACTATGGATCTTCATCAAGTACCGGCCGTATCAATTAGAAAAAAAAGATAAATGATTATTAATATGATAACTTCAATTAATAATTTACTTTTCAGCAAGTTTTTGAAACTCTGGTTGATAAAAATATTGTTTATTGCTGAAGATGTTTGTATTAGATTTTTTTTATTTTTCTTTGAAGTTCCCTCATGTCGACCCTGATTATATTGTAGTAATATTTCTGTATACTTTATTCACACATACAATAATTTATACTCCATTTATCTACCGTAAACGTATTGAAGAGATTATTTTTGAGCTGATAACATGTCAATCTACAGTAATGAAGTCGATAAAATAATGCTGTGATTCAGCTCAATTACTTATATCGTGATCCTGTTGAGAAACGTCTATTAAGTCATATTTCATAATATTCATTGTGGAAAATGAATAATGATGCACGTTTCCATTTTACCGCTAGATATGAATAACTGCATATATTGCATATGAATAGCCTCTCAATAACTACTCAGCATACCTCATAATAAAGAACGAGCTCGCTGTTTAATGGAATAATAATTCAAAACACATTATTTTGCTTCATTAACTCTGAAAGAATTTTAGTTATGGTATTATGAAATATGTTTAATATTTAGAAAAATACGAATAATTTCTATGAAAGGGCGATAATGTGGCTACAAGTAATGTCCTCGTCAAGGATATTGCTTTTTGCGTTTTTGTTTCGAGTAATTGAATTTCTTCATCAACTGTTTGCTGAATTTATATCAGTCTGTATTAGTTTGATTATCGAAATCAGATTAACAGTTAATAATTGACTTCGGGTTGTCTCAAGGTTCAGTTTTGAGACCTCTTCCATTTCCCATCTATTTTTTAGATTTTCATGTTTATGTGTTTCTTGAGGTTTTCCCTGAATTTCATTAGTTCGGACTTCCATTGTCTGATATTATATAAAATGATAAGAAATACCTGAAAGAACTATTCATTTTTGATTCTATTTTTTATTTTTTTTTAGTTCTTTCAGGGATTTAAAATTATTTTATATAATATCAGACATTGGTAGTCCAAACTAATGGAATTCATCACGAAACATTGTATATCACCTTCAAACAAACGAGGTTTTCCCTGTTTATGAAAGTATATGTGGTCAACTTCATTAGGTATATACATGTAACCGTGGAAATATTATTTTTAAAGGTGTCTCTGCAGGAGGTTTGGTAGAAAAGATTGTAAACGCGCCGTATGATTCTGTTTTGGTAAATGAAATTCACCTTTTCTTGTTCGCGGGAAATTTAAGAATCATTTGATTTTCAAATCTGTTGAAAACAAATCTTTTTTCCGCTAACGATAAGTTTTAGAAGTGGAAACTTGTACAAGCTAAGAATAACGGGGTCATACTTTTTAACGTACAATACCTAACACGGTTTTCAAAATTTACCAATAAGATTCCAAAACCAATTTGGGAATTGAGTGAAAAAAGCAAAGATTGTTTTCAAAGTATCAAACACATAGTCTTTTATAACTCCATAGTCAGTAATATTTAAGAGGACTCTTTAAAAAGCCAGTATAGTTAGAAAAGTTTAGAAAGTACCGAAGATTTTGTTCCTCAGTTGCTCAATTCAACCAACTTAGTTCAACATCAACTTTTGATATTCAATTTCTGACAGAAATCAACCAATTGTCAAAGAAAAACCAGTCATCTTAACAGCTCAGCCAATCTAAGAAACCTGATTTGATTTCTCGTTTTGAAACAAATGATAATTATATGCTTTTAAAAAGCCGCTAATCGCTTAAATTGAGACCCCTTTGAGAAAAAACTTCAACTAATGGAGCATTAAGATATAAATAACGTTAATTGGCTGATAGAAGTGATATGTTCTCGCTGCATATTGCAACAGTGACCTTGCCTAGGCCCCTGTAAATGTTAACGCATGAGAGATTAATGATACAGTTTCTTCTTGTATTTTTCAGGCGTTTGCATGGACTGTATTCAGCGTTCAACTTGTAGCATCTCAACATCCCCCACAGTCCAGACATAATTCGTACGCTAGTATTCTACAGGATTCCAGGAATGAACCTACTCCCGATGGTATTTGAAATTTTTTTGGTAGCCCATATTTTCATTTCTTTTCTCCTTTTTAATAATTGATTCAATAATAATTTCCAGTTGCTAGTTGTAACTAGTTTATAAGTTCTAAGCAAAATATATTCAAGTGTGCAAGTGTGTCCGTTCCAATAATTGAAAATCGATTCAGGCATTTGTATCGCAGGAATTACTTCTGTGAAGAATCCTGCACTGACACCTGTCCGATATAATCCAACGCCTTTCGTGGTATTAGGCAGGGGAGTGGTTGATGTCTGATAGGTTTCTGTACATCAAGCTGTTACGTTTTCCACGTAGGTTTGACATTAATTGAGTACACTGTAGACTTGAACTCAACATTATTTCACTAGCAACACTAACAACACAACACAAACACTTTAACTGAAATTTCAGATCTCTAGTGCCTCATTAGAACACTTTGTATCGCATTTCCAACCTAAACTTCCCGATCTGCGTATTGATAGTGTTCATACATTGCAATGGAAGTCTCTGGAAGCCGATAGGAAGGTTGGTGGAAGTCTTTCGAAGCGTCTTTCGATCGCGAAGCGCAAGTCGAGTTATGGCACGACCTTGGTCAAGGTAAAATCGACAGACGACGACCAGCGGCGCCAGCGTTGGTTTTTCGGGGGATGATTTACAACTCTACCTCCTTTTCTGGACTGCTGGTACATTGGTGATCCTTATGTTGGAAATGAGGTGAGATTTAGGTTTCTCAGGAATTCTGTCGAGTTGTGGCGCGACCTCGGCCAAGTCACAATCGACTGACGACGACCAGCGGCGCCGGTGTTATATTTTTCGAGGGATGATTTACAACTCTATTCCTTTTTCCGGACAGCTGGTGCATTGGCGATCCTAATGTTGGAAATGAGGTGGAGTTTGGGTTTCTCAGGATTTCTGTTATGTAACACTGAGAATGAAACCACGAAACATGTGAAAACAAAAACACTTTTGATGTTATGATGAAACTATTGTGAGACGTCAGCCAGACCCGTTTGTAGTTTTCCCGTTTCAGGGTTGATGCGAATTCCGAAAGCTGTACCAAATAAGGAATTTCCTAATAGTAACTCTTGTATCTGTAGAGTAGGGGGAGGGTGAGTGTAGGTCCACAGAATTTAGGCCTTATGTGACCCATTGTACATCCTCCCAAGGAGTTGTCCTCCTAGGCTATCGTCTATCCTGTCCTTTCCAGGAAGGTGGACAGGATTCTGGGAGACATCTCCTTTATATCGGCAGTTGTAGCCAAAACTCGCCAAACACACACTCTCTTAGACGATAATTCCGGACATTTGCCTAGGACATACCTGACAGATTCATCTTCCTGTTCACACATCCTGCATAGAGGTGTGTCCACTAGCCCCATATCGTGGAGGTGTTTCCTCAGTTGACAGAGGCCAGTCAGAAATCCTACTGTTAGGCGTAGATTTTTCGTAGATCATCCACATATATTTCTTCGGCGCCAGCTTTCCAAGGGTGATCCTGGCAAGATTGCATACTTTGATCTCATCCCATCTCTTCTGGGATTAAGCATGGGTGTGACGTTCGGCTAGTTCCGCAATTGTCGAAGTCATCAGGCCATAAGTATTTAGTCCAGCCGCTTCCTTGGCTAAAGAGTCGGCGATTACCTTCACTATGATCGTGCCCTTTAATCCACTTCAGGATAATGTTACTATCTATCGAGGCTTTGGCTAAATCTTGGTGGCACTCTATTACTAGCTCTGAGGTAACACAGTGTCTGTTCAAGGCCAATAGGGCTACTCTCGGTGCAGATTGTTATGTTTTTGCCAGAAATTATATTCCTGGTTATTTCGTTTGTGTCGATTGAGATAACAGCCAGTTCTTTTTGAAACACGCGGGTATTTTTTCCCATTCTCCACTTAATCCTTAGGCTTAGTGATCTGGAGTACACTCCTAATTTCGAGCCTTCTTTGGTTTTTGAACCGTCTGTATGAATGCGTATTGCATTTGTAGCATCTGACTCTGTGTTATCTTTCATACGTATTTTGTAGGGTTTATTAAACACAAACCTGGGTTCAATTGCATGGCGCTTCTCGCCATAGTGACTTTTGCACATGCTTATGCACCTCATCACCTCCACTTACCATCATAGATGCTTCTGAGTCTGGAGTTGTTTTGGAGATGACATCGTTCCCATGAAAGCATCTTTGGTGTTCCCTCTACCCCTCCTCAGATTCTTCGATTTCAAGTTGAGGTGTATTTATAACTATAGCCAATGTATTAAACTCATAACATAATTTTTGAATGTCAGGTACTTTCGGTTACCACTACAAGACAGAAGATGGCATCACAAGTGTGGCTCGCGGAGATCCCAGCGGGGTTATTCACGGTACTTTCTCATATACGGATCCAACCGGACTGAAAGTCAATTACAATTACAACGCTGGTGCCAGGAATACTCCTGCTTCAGCTCCTTCATCAGGTCCAGCTCCTGCTCCTGCTCCTGCTCCTGCTCGCGCTGCAGCCCCAGCTCCAAAATATTACAACAACCCAGCACCTATCCCAAGAGGAAGAGCTTCGCAACCAGTGTACAGGGAGGAACCACAGTACTACAGGTATACAGACTATTATATTTGGTTGAGAAAAAGTATTGTGTTTATTCGTCCAAGTCTTAGAACTGGTAAACCATTAAAATCAACAATGAAACAGATACAATATACCCTTCAGTGGACACTTCTGATGAACAGTTTGCTTGGTGTTCTTTACGGAAGGGAGACAAAACTGTAAGCTTATGCAGACAACCTTGTTATTTTGGTGAAGACCATGCCAGGGAGGGGTTTGCAAGCCTCAATAGCATTGTGCTAGTTTCCTGTACCAGGTGGAGGAACCAAGATGATTCAACTCCACTTTCCTGAAATAATGAGGTTGTTTCACTTGATTAATGTTCTACACAATGCATTACAATATTTATGCTGAAGGATCTGTAGAAAATCTGTTTTCGAGATCAATGATTGGTACAGAGCAAATGTTTGGTGGCCGAAATCATTACAGCAAACAGTGCAAATGAAGTTTCCTATCATACAAAGTCAGGTTTGCCCGGCTACCTCTGGTGCCTTCAGCAAACCTATCTCCTGGTGAAAACTAACCTTAAAAAGTAATCCCTAGGAATATGTTTGCCAAGCAAATGACTCTGGAAGACTATGGAAGTGCTTGGCTTCTACCAGGTGGGTATTGATTTGTAAAAACTCTTCAATGAGGAGACTTAACAACTTGTTTTTTCCTTGCTATACTGTTCCACGAAGAAACGAACCTGCTGACTCCCATGAGAGAGCACTGCAAACGGTTTCATTGAATCGAAATCTGCCAGAATCTTCGCTTCAGGTTCTGCCAAATACTAGGAACTACATCGTTCGAAAATTTTTGGACTTATGGCTCACCAACTTATGAATGCATTTTATTCAGAAACTCAAAACACAACTCATTTCTGTCTTTCAAAAGTAGACATACTTTTTTCTAGTTATTTCCGTTGATACTTATACTTCCCTTTGAAACAATTGACTGCAGGGTGGTAGATATGTCGGTGTATCAGGTCTTTCGACCTTATGAAAATATGCTCACTAGTATATACAATTTTTTAGCGAACCTTCTCAAGATCAGTATGATGAACCAGTTCCACAGTACAGATCAAGAGCAAGACCTGTCTACAGCGAACCTGAGGATGCTTATCAATCAAGAAGAGGAAGACCTATTGCCAGGGAAAATGATATTTATGATGACTATAACTACAGGGGATAGATGATAATTAAAAGGGGTTTTCTATAAGTATGTTCATTGTGCCAAATTCTGACAGTGAAAACTAGTTTTGATTTTCAATGTACTTCATATTCATAAAAGGATGATTTTTCAGGACTTGACAATGTTCTGATTCCAAATGGAATTCATTATATAGTGTTGAATGTATATTTGTATATTATACTGTTTTGAAATATTTTTGTACAGTTTTTGGATTTGTTTTCGAGTTTACGAAGATTGAACTCCATTAGTATGTAGAATGATTATATATTTTACTTGTTTGTCAGGTCAGGTTGCCACTCTCTGTATAGAATTGGAAATAGTTTAAATATATTTCGATATAATTTTTTTTGTTTACCTTCAGAATGTGTTCATCAATTTGTAAGAGCCACTTTCTTCATTTGGGAATTTATGAAATGAAGTCAAACTTGACAAAAAAGTGTACCCCATCCAAAATACTCATTTCGAATTCAAGTTAAATCAGGAAATGAAATGTCCAGAAAAAAAAATGTGTTTTGATCTGAACATCGCATTTCAAATATGAAATGACTGGAAAAAATGTTTCAATTCTTCGTTTTTCTATAAGTAATATTGGGATATCGCGTGTATATCTTACTTCTTCCATTCATGAAAAAAATCGTTGCCCAAAATTAGTTAACGAAATTCTTAATACACTCAACAACCCGTTTTGTGAACTTCATCAGAAAGTTTCGAAGATAACGAAAAAATATAAAAGAAGGTGATCATTCCAAACGGTAAAAATTTTAAATTTTCAGGATATTTGAAACAGAGTAATTATGGATTTAATCTCATACCGATAATTGAATGTTAAAAACTCAAATATGAGACTCTTTCAAAACTGTTTCATATAGTAGGTACTAACATGAAACAGTCAGAACTCTAGCTATTTTTCATTCTAGCTGTAATTCAATATATGCCGCGGTATTAGCTACAGAAATATTTGTTTTCATAAACATTCACTAATTTAATTTGTGTATGACTTTCTTGTACGTGTGCATATGATTAAAATTTTGAATGTAATTCGTAATAGTCGTTTATGTTGTATAATTTTTTAAATGAATATTTTCATTGTCAAAAAATGGAGTGTAGTAAAAAAATCGTTTTTTGGGGTATTTATTCCATAAATGGTAGGCAAAAAAATTATTTCGAATATTTCACACCAAACAAGCAAGGCTTTTTGCACAAAGAAGGTAAAGTTCTGTATATAGTTTGGTTATGATACTTTTTCTCATTTGTGTATCAATCAGTGTATGTCATATTTGAGAATTTAACTTTCTTTTATCCTTATTTCCAACTGCTCGAAAAGCTGTTAATATATCTAACCCATTCAACCATGCGTTTACATTTCCGAAATTTTCGGCTTATTGCAAAATCTTTTCAATACTGGGTAGAATATTCAACGTACCATAAAATCACTGTTATCTCTCGAAATCACATTTCTCAAAAATGAAAAAAGGTTGTTTGCTAAGTTTAAATACAGATATAAACACAGGAGGTGACAATTCAGGTTTGACTTTTGAGTATAATTCAAAAGAACTCAAACAGGTAGATTCTTTATGCTTTATTCAAATCAATACATCGTTATTACTTTCAGCAACAGAACACCCCTTGTTAGTGGGTGGTAAATAAGCAGATTACACAGTCGAAGAGATATTAGAAGATATTGACAAATATAAAAAATAATGAGAGATTAGAGAATAACTGAAAAGTTCGTTATTGAAGGCCACAGAAAAAAGTACATTGTTTTTAATATTATAAGATACTGTGATATTTTTTTAAACAATGTTGAATATCCTCAATTTTGAATTAGAGAAAATTTTCTCCTTACAAATGGCGAAGATGAAAAAAACTGGTTAGAATTGATATCACAGAAACATTAAAATATCTGTAATTTAAAAAGTTTTGTCCGTTTTTGTGGATCAAATTAATTCCTGCTGTGACAAAACTCTTCAGAATTGGATAAAGAAACTGGGATTAAAATTTAAAATAATAAACAAACGTCAAGCAGTTATGGAGGGCAGAAGAATAGTGGAATTGTGTAACAAATACTTAAAACAAATAACTAAATATGGACAAGAACAACGGCAAATTTTCTATCTGGACGAAACTTGGTATAACACTCCTGACACAGTTACGGAAGGGTGGACTGATGGTTCGAAAATTTGTACGCCTAACATACCTGCTAACAAAGAATCGTGACTGATCATTGGGCATTGCGAAAGAAGTGAAGGATTGGTTCCGAATTCTTTGAAATCATCTAGAAAAAACTTGAGGACTGCTATGTTGACTATCATAGGAACATAGAAGCTAGTATAATGTAGTAGTTTCAATTATCATCCTGTTGTTTGAAGCCCTATTTTCCCAATCACGTGAATAAACGAAATATTCATTGTGTGTATTATTATATATATTTTTATTATACATATAAGTATACCTGTATATTTATATATTATATAGTTACTGTGATTCTTATATAATCAGAAATGATTATTTAATAACGAAATTAGTTAGCTTCCTGACTATATTATGGAAGGGGAGCTGTTGCACTATATCGGTTACTTGATAGTTCAAGTCAATTAAGATTAATTGGCTTCTCATTCTACTCGAAACGTTATATGCTAATAATGACAAGAATGATATGATTCTCCCCGGCCGAGCTCGCAAAATACGTATTTCCCGGACCAGGCCAAAAAACCAATGGTGAGTTACAGAAACAGTTTTCTAGTATTTGTTTATTTTTCCGGTACGTTGCAAAATCACAATTTCACACATCAATTAGCAAAAATAATAATTTCTACCACCGCTCGACCAACCCTCGAGTAAACCCCTTCGATTAAACCATCAAAGACCCGAATTGGAAACAAATTAAAACAAAGGCTTCGAGTGTTCTTGGAAGTTGGTAACATTGAGAGCCACAATGATTATTTTAAACGGGGTTGACGATCAAGAGATCATTGTGGTGTGGCAAAAGTTTTGCATTGTTTGGAGGTAACAAAGCGAAAAATTCATAACGTATGGGTCGCAGTTATCCAAGTCTCTATAGTCAATTGTTTGTGTCGGGTAATGGTACTTGTCTGCGAACTCATGAGGACAGCTGATTTTCTGAGAGGTTTTCTAAATATCGATATTGAAGTAGGCGAATTTGCATGAGGATATTGTGGGAAAATAGTGTGATAAGTTTATTGCAATGCGTTGTCACAAACGTTCACGAGGCGAATTTATCTTCATGAAAATTGATTTTTTAACAAAAACTACACAAAAAAAAGTTTATTTAGGTGATCAAAAAAGTGGGGTATTTCATTAAGCGCTTTCTTTGTTTAAATGTGAATGAAACAAAGTGTACTGCTACCAGACTGAGTCATGGTCGGTGGGAGAAGTCGTGAATTTCAATAATTCCGACTTCCTTATTGTCTAATATTATATAAAATGATTTGAAATCTCTGAAAGAGGCAATAAAAAAAATTAAGAAAAGAATAGGTAAGTAGCTGAAAATAACAATTATATCAAGCAACAAAAACCTGAAATGAAATTCAAGTAGTAATAAAAGAATTGAACAAAACATAAAAATAGAAAAATTAGGAGATAGGTTGTCGGTGATATCCTGACGCCGACAGTACACATTCAATTCAAGAAAATTATAAACAGAGAGACTTGTTATCAAAGCTTTTTGCACTTTTCATTCACGTATAGTCCGGTCAAATTAGACCAAAAAATAACAGTAAAGCTTTCTAAACTCCCACCAAGCTGAAAATCAGTAAAATCATTTAAAATATGATTGAAAATGAAATTTGAAAGTTCCCTATCTTTTCCTTGTATGGAAAGAATGATATCCAAGGTCAAAGGTCAAAAAAATGAGTTTTTCGCAATTTTCAGCAAAACGGTGAAATTTATCATAAAAATACTTCGGCCAAAAATTGTAGATTATAAAAATATCTTCAATTCAATTCATTCATTGGTTTTACAGATTACAGTAACAGTAATATAAAGCACGTCACAAATTACATATAGGTAGACATTTCACATTTGAAACTGACAATTTTAAAAGTAGAGTAAGTAAATTAAAATATATTATTGAATGAAAGTATCCAATTAGCTGGAATAAAATTCTTCAATATTATAAAACATTTTTGACAACAGAATAGTTTTGAGATGCTTTCTGAATTTGAAGACAGTAGTTTCCTTTATAATGGATTCCGGGAGCTTATTGTAAATTCTTACGCCATCGGAGATAGGTCCCCTGAGAGTTACATTTAAATTATTTCGAGGTGTTTTAAGATGGTGGTTAAATCTAGTTGAATAACTGTGATCATTACTATGAGTGCTAATGCTTTTTTTATTTTAAAAAATGTAGCAAGATATTTCTAGAATATTCAAGCAAGAAAGAGGAAGTATTTTCATATTGGCAAATAATGGTCTTCATGCTTCTCTCTGACTTTTATTTAATAAAGTTGTAAGGCATTTTTTCTGCAGTACAAATAATTTCTGAGCTGCTGATGATGAATCCCATAAGATTCCGTATGTGAGTCGTGACTGAATTTCAGCATAATAAATTTTTTTTAGTACGGACAAGTTGAGAACTCTTCTTAGGCATTTCAGTTGGTATATTTTGCTGTTAAGTTTGTACATTTTTTCTCTGATATGGAATTTCTAATCTAATTATACCTGAGAATTTTATGTTTCCGCATTGTTTTGATTTTACTCCTCCCATTTTAATTTCTATGTTTTCAATCCTCTTTTGTCTAGAGTGGAATATTGAAAAATTTGTTTTACCAGAATTGACATAAAATTTGTTTGTTGAGAACCAAAGTATAATTCTTGTCATTAAATCATTACAGTTTTGTTGGATGGCTTCTAAGGATCTCTACTGCTACTAGGATCGATAGATCATCTGAGAAAAGTGTTAGTTTGTATTCATCGATGTATTTAACAATAGCTGCTATATATATAGAGAAAAATATAGGTGCAAGGAGACTTCCCTGCGGTACCCCTACACTAATTGATATCAAATCTGAGCAGTGTATGCTCTTTTGTCCATCATCCTTAAAGTGAGATATCTGTACATATTGTTTTCTACCATCAAGATAAGACCGAAACCATTGATGTGTATTTCCTCTGATCCCATAAATCCAAAGCTTTTCTAACAATCGATCGTGTGGAACACAATCAAACGCTTTGCTCAGATCGCAGTATATTCCAATTGGACATATTTTTTGTCTAATTCTTTTAATATGTCTATATATGTTTCTGTTGTTGCTGTTGTGGTTGATTTGGATTTTATGAATGCGTGTTGTTCATCTGGTGTCAGATTAAATCTCACAATGAAGG